GGACTTCAGCACGACTCTGCTGGGAGTGGTTCAGTACTATCTGCAGTCTGGCAGTGTGCTCTTTTTGTGATTAGCTGCTGAGCCCACCTGGAAGGAGGGCTTTAGAATGTGAAACACTGGAGCAGAGCAGGAGTCAACACAAAAGCAGCAGCTCCTCAAGAATCCTCCAGGATTAACTGGGTCTCCAAGGAAGGAACGCAGACGGCGCGTTTTCAAGCCAGTCTTTGAGATCACACTACGCTAGTCGTGGGTTTACTGCACTTTCAAGATCTCCTGTTGTGTGGAAGAAGCACTCGGGGGAAAGGCTGATGAATATTGGAAGTCTGAGGGACTTTATCCCATCTTCCCTGACCTAGCAGGGAGCCTCTTCAGCAACGTTGCAGTGAGGGTACGGGTGGTGCTGGGCAGAGGGCACCCCGAGGTGGGGAGTAGTGCATTAGTCTCAGCGGAGTGGCCTTGAAGATGGGGTGAACTATGGGGCTGGACTGCTGGCCCTGCTGGAGGACCCAGTAATTTGTCATTTGACGAGTTCTTACCTCTGTGTCATGTACACTAATTCTGGGCTCCAAAAGCCTACACGCCTGCTTGTTTCATCGCAGCTCCACAGCTTCACTGAAGCCACAGCTGAACTAACAAGTTGCCCGATTGGAACATTTGCTTTGTTCCTAATGAAAAGCTGGAATTTTCTTACTTACGAGATGTGGTCGTTACAAGGCAACTTCCAGCTTAGCATCAGGAAGCCCGTATCAACCATGCAGGGTCCAATCGTGGTGGCATCTTTCTCTCTGACAGTGAACCTCCGGGTTCTCCGTGAGAGCAGAGTCATTCATGGCCGAACGGAACCAGCAAGCGAATGAGCCGTGGCAGATTTGAGTCGGGGCCTGTGTTTCTGGACAGCCCTGACGTGGTGGCCCCGGTTTGCCCCTGCCTCTCGGTTTGCCCCCGTTTACAAGCGCGAGGAGGCTGTCGACGTCGCGCGGCAGGGGTGGGGGGGGTCCATCGCGAATCCGTGGCAGCAGCTGACAGCTCCTCTCCAGCAGGGCAGCGCCATGCCTAACGAGACACCTCCCAGGTGGAGAAACGTCAGCACAGTTCCCAGAGGCCCGTGCATGGAGCAAGGCACTCTGGGAACACCGTCAATGGCCAATGATGCATGTTTTTTGGCCTCTGTCGTACTAGCTAACCAGAGGTGCAGTAGCAAGCTTGTCTCGGTTGTGATTTTTGCTTGAAATCAGACTTCCTCTTGGATCTTTAATTAACAAAGCAGGGCAGGAGTCGGAGGAAGGCTATGAATATTACATGAGCCATGTAATGCTCTATAACTTACTGTCTCGCCTACACAAACACTGCGTTTTGTCTTAATTCAAGGATCTGTTACAAGCTCAATTATTCCAACCAATGTTGTTGGATCAGACAACGCTATAAATCTCAAGCCGATATGTGTAGAGACTTTGAGGGAGGCTGGGAGATGTTGTGAACCACTGGACCAAAATTATGGATTACCATGGACAAAGTGTGGAGTTACCTGTATAAACCAGGATGCGGAGTAAGAGCCCAATGACAAAGCAGCACGGAACTGTGGGACGGCCAATGAAAAATGGCCAATTAGACGGCCATTAGCTGTCCCATGGGAAAGACATCGGAGCATGGATGAGGGCCGCCGCAGCAGGGATGATGGCCCGACAGGGTGGACAGCCGCAAACACAGAACAAAAGTTTTCATGTTGCCACTTAAATCATTCACCGCTAAAAGGGCTCTGCTCTGGCTGAATGCGCAAACAACAAGATTATCCTGAATAATGAAGGGATACCTTAACCTAGCAGAGCTCAAAGCAGCAGCGGTGCCAAGCCAGACCGAAAGGAGTGTGGCAGTGTCTTGTGCGCTCTTGTGAAAAGGTCCATTTTAGGCACATCTTCAGGAAAACGCAGTTTTATTACCAGCTGCCTCCACAGCATTGGGATTGTGTGGTTTTGAAGATCCCTGCAATTTCTGATGCTCTTTTTCAGATTATTTCCTGGACCAGATGATATAATTGATTCTGTTCTGATTCCTGTTGGATGCCCTGGCCTCCTCCTCCATTTGCTTTGAGAGGCCAGAGAGCTCCAGAGCCCTGAGTAAAAAGGATTTCCCTCCTCCCTCTTTTCTCTTTTCGAGACTGAACCATTTCACCCCTGAGGAGACTGGGCAACCTCTCCTGCCGTTCTGTCCAGGGACTTGCATGAAGCTTGTCCACTGGCCATTTCCTGTCGTCTCCTGAGAGAAGGAAGAGTCTGCTGGCCACAAGCCTAAGAGGTGTGGCTCTTCAGCCTGACCTGCCTCCTGAGACAGAAGAGCCAGTGAGGTTTTGACTCTACCCACGAAGATGTAAGAACACAAGAAGCGTTACAAACGAGAAGAGACTAGCTTGCCTGGTTGCTAGGAGGTAACTGATCCAAAGATCTCATCCGCCCTTTTCTTGAACAAAACCCGGGTGCTGGCTTCAGCAACATCATGGCTGGGGTAGCTTATTCCAACACCAGGATTCTCCGTCTCATCTGGTGGACCAGGCCCAGGTCATCTAAATGACCTGAGGCAACATAGAACTACCTATAGATCCTTTTTCCCTTAACTTGGATAATGACCTCAATATGCAAAGGATCACTGTGCATCTTTCAACTCAGGAGACACTTAAGAGAAACCGTACCTTAAGGTGTTCCATCTGGCCATAGAACCTGTCTTGGCCTCTCCTGTTGCAGATGCCCGGGCAATGCTTTCGTCAGCCACCAGAAAGCATTTAGCAAAGGCGTATGCTTTTCAGTGCTTAATGTAAAAGGTCAAACTAATTTCACCTTTTCTTTATTTTCTCCCAAATTTTAAGCTGTGCCGGATTAGACTTTGTACTATTATGCAAGCCACTTAAAGCTCTGGACAATCAAGGGCTATCTGTCTGATGCACTCCAGCGTGGGGCTTGTGTGAGTGTTGGTGCGGAATGTTATTTTGCCAGTGTGAATATTCATGAGCCAGTTCTCGGGGCAGTGTGCTGTGCTTGATTTCCAAGCGAAGGCATGGGATTGCATAGAGAGAGGTGGCCTGTTGTTTTTTCTTCTGAGAGATGCTGAATGTTCTCCCAGAAAATCTGGAATGTGCTCCTTTGTGCCTGTGACAAAATGACTAAGCCAGTAATAGAAATTATTTATTCTCGCTGTGATCGTAACACTGCATGGGCATTTTCTGTTGCTGTGCATTTTTGTGTGCCTGGTACTATCTGGAAAAATGCAAACTCATTTATCATTGTTGCTGGAAAAAAATGTGAA